ACTTATGGTATCAATACAAAATTCAAAGCAGGAGATAATTGGGTCACCAAAGGGTTAAACTTTTTTGATATATCACCCAAGGGAAAGGAATGAGTTGTATTCTCAGGCAGGAAAATAATATGGAAATAAATAAGATAAAGGCTACTTTAAGTATTATATTATAGGCATAGATGACTATATGATTTAAATGAAAAAAATATACCATATGTCAGAGCATATAAAGAAAATTGCTTAGCTTGCCATTCAAGGCCTTCCTTATTTTGTCCCTATATGCATTTCTAGTCCCATCTCACAGTAATTCCTCTGTCATAGTCAGAATGACAGAAGACTTGAAAGAACCAAACTCAGTGGTGTACAAAGCAGAAGCAGCAATTGAAAGCAAAGTGTGAGCGGCAACGAATAGTTTCTGTAAGATGTTAAGAGTCTGTTACTTGGTGTGTGACAAGAGTTAACACCAGACAGAGGTGCCTGTTTTAGACTGGGTTCTCCTGAAAACAGAGCCTGAGACCAGGACCTTAGCACAAGTGGTTTATTTGGGAGGTGGTTCCAGGAAGCCAGGGTAAGGGAACTGGAAAAGTGAAGCAGGGAAGGAGGACAAAGGTATGCTATTGAGGTTGCTGCTGTAGGCAACAGGAGTTTAAAGACCACTGAGAAGCAACCAAATGCCTCCTGGGAATTTTATCCACAAGCTCCCGTCCCTATTGGTTAAGGGCTGTCTCCTTCTTATTAACTCTCCAGAACTTGCAAGCTGCATTTGTACTAGGCTGAGAATCTCACACAGACTTGGAGCAGTCCCTGAGACAGAATGACAAAGGGAAGGACAAGCTGCACTGGAGGTGGAATGCCTTCAGAGGGCACGGATCTGTTCACAGCTAAAATCAGAGATGGGTCCGGAGAATGAGACGTAAGGCACAAAATGCCTCTGCTGCAGGCCATTATCATTACTTGCACTATTTATGTTCTTCTGAGTTAAGATGCTTTCAAGGGAAGATATCTCCTTGCATCCTGACTGCATGCTATCTCTTAAAGGCATCACTCAAGTCTAACAAAAGTCTCCAATTTCTGGCTATTTCCTTAGCACTTCTTTTAATATTTTTATCTTATGTTTTTTAACCTGAAGTGCTTCCCCTCACTCCCACTGTACCTATTGAGATCCTATTTCAATCCTCATTCCACAACTAGGTTGTAGCCACACGGATGACTTGTCATGTCTTGATAATTCCTTAATTTTCTTTGCTTATGACAGTCTCTATTCTTAAAATACCATGCTTCCCACTTTCCAGCTCCAACTCTTAACATCCTATTCATTTTTTAAGATGAAATTCATATGCCCCTTCCTCCCTGAAGCAATCTGAGTTAATTGCTTATTTGTTTATACCTCTGTTAAGTTGCTCAGTAAATTCTTTGTACATCTCTGTCCTCCTAAAAGTGACCCCATCTTTATCATCCATGCATTCCCCCAGACAGCCTAGAATTGTGCCTTGCCCCTAGATAGAAAGTTCAAAATGCACTTGTTAAATTGAATGAATATACAACTGCAGAAAAAAAGATTCAGATTGCTTATTGTTTGGAGCATTGTGTCAGGTAATTTCATCACATTTTTCTGCAGAATTTTGAAAACATTTGCACAAAATTTATTTCAAAGCTCATTTTCTAGTCTTTCTGTTCTGTCCCCGTGAATGTAGCATCACACCTGTATGAACATCTCACATGAGTATGAATATAGCATCATACCTTTTCTCGTTAGCTGTGTTATAGAGTTACATAGTTATTCTCCATCTCCCTAGCTTCTCATTTGGGTGGCAAATCAAAATGCATTTTTGAAAAACACAGGAAGGTAATTTGATTTTCTGGATATAGTTGTAGATGGGAACTTACATAAAAGTATTATTATATGCAAAACAATCCCTTTTTAAACTTGTGTCTCAATGTAGCTAATACCAAGTCTCACTTCACGTTAGAATCAAATTTCATTGTCTCTACCTCCTCATCTCCCATATATCCTCAAACCACAGCAATATGACTTCTGCTTCTATCTCACTAATATCATCAATAACCTCTTAGTGGTCAGATCCAACCACATGTGTCTTAGTTCTTTTTATTTAACCTGTCTTTAAAATTGGACTTCAAAATCTCCCGTCTTCTTGAAATTCCTTTGACCCCAGTCTTCTGGTTTCCCTGTACTGTAATATTTAATGACTCTCACTCCTCCACTCTATTATAGGAAGCCATGAATTTATATCTTGACATTTCTCACAATACTGTGCTCGTTGTGGGAAAATGAGGGCAGAGTGTTCAGAAATATCTGTTGAATTGAATGAAATTATATATAGAAAAGAAGATTCAACAAATGATATGAGAATCACTATGATATTTGGTTGGATGAGTTAATTTGGAGACCATTGACAAAGATTTATTTGAAAGTTTGTCTTTTAGTTGTTGGTCATTTGCTTTTGTAGTTTCTTGGCCATCATCTCAGTCTCTTTTTGGAGCTTATCCTTTTATCTGTATGACTCCCTGTCTTAGTCATCTGGTGCTGCTCTAACAGAAATAGCGCAAGTAGATGGCTTTAACAAAGAGAAGTTTATTCTCTCACAGTCCAGTAGGTTACAAGTCCAAATTCAGGGCATCAGCTCCAGGAGAACATTTTCTCTCTCTGTCACCTCTGGAGGAAGGTCCTTGTGATGCATCAGTCTTTCCCTGGTCTGGGAGCATATCAGTGCAGGAACCTCAGATCCAAAGGACACACTCTGCTCCCAGCTTTGCTTTCTTGGTGATATGAGGTTCCCCATTCTCTGCTTGCTTCCCTTTTCCTTTTATCTCTTGTAAGGTAAAATGTGGTGCAGGCCACACCCCAGGGAAACTCCCTTTACATTGGATCAGGGATGTGACCTGGGTAAGGATGGTGTTACAATCCCACCCTAATCCTCTTTAACATAAAATTACAATCACAAAATTGAGGCAAACCACACAATTCTGGGAATCCTGGACCAGCCAAATTGATACACACATATTTTGGGGGACATAATTCAAACCATGACACTCTCATAAATGATAGTGCTGTCCAGGATTTCATTCTTGGACCTCTGTTTGCTGTGCTTCTCTTTCCCCATGATCTCATCCACATCCGTGGTTTCGATGACCTCTACTTTGCTGGCTGTCAATCGCTTATATCTCCAGCCCAGTTCTTCTTTAGACCCTCCTTCTCTATATGTCCCAGTTACAAATGAAAGAAGAAAGTGATCAAGGGGATGGCCATTGAAAACTGTCCCTCCTAGGAGTAATTCCTTCTACTTTTCTCTTACATGTCTAAATTTACATCCTCTGTAGTTCCCAGCTCAACACCTAAGTCTTGACCTTTTACCTCACTTATCTGGTTCACTTCCTTGAAAATCAAACACATTGTTCATTTACTCATTTGCACTTAATGAATGCTGATTTGCTCCATTTAAAATTTTTTTGTGTATCTATACAATCTAACGTTTCTCTTTTTTACTCAACAATTTATCTAGTGTTTACCTTTATCATTAAAACAAGAGTGAGGAGCGTGTCTTATTAATCTCTTCTTATCCAACACACAGCTCAGTGCCTGGCCCAAAGCAGATGTTTAATAACTACATGTTGAATGAACAAGTGAATAACTACACAAGTGAATGTACATCGTGTTTTTCTATCTAGTGTGGATGAAGTGGATAGGTCTTCCCCTTGCCTTGTAACCCCTTATCACTCTGCACCTTGTCCTAGTAAGGCTTAGTAAATATTAATTAGTTGTCATTAGTAATTTGCCTTTTTGTTTGTTAAGCAGAATCATTCCTTGGGGAATCTTCCTATATCCTACTGAAATTATTTGGTAGGTGGAAAATTTTAAAAATTTTCTGAGCACTTTCTATCATCTTGGGCAGAAGTATTTTTCTCCCAGAAACCTATAATCATTATAAATTGATTATCCTATAATTATTATTGAAAGACAGGACTTTTTTTTTTTTTTTTCATTCAGCTGTCTCAGTCAACCTGTCCTGAAAATATATTACTATTTATCACACAATTCAAAACTAAAGTAAGTGTCTATTAGTTTAAAAAATACCCTAAGATAAAATTTCACAGAAGGTAAATTACAATTTTCCTCTCTGATAGCTAGTCATCTCTTTGTTTTATTGTATAGAGGTTATTAAATTTAATGAGTGGGCTGACCCACCAACTTTTGAGGCCATTTATAGTTATTGTCATTGTTAATGAAACGTTTCAGAATATTGTTATCCTTAAGGGCTCAATATTATATAAATACAATGCTTTAATTTTGTAATGCAGTTTTAAATCTCAGAGAATATCTGCTGAGTAATTGCCTGATTGTCATTTATAAGCTTACATGTAATCCAATTTGAAAGAACTAATTGTAGCAGAATGTTATACTTGTTTAATAATTTAAGGTGTGAGGGCAAGAACAATTAAGGCAAATGGAGAAAACTGGACATCAAACTCATTTATTATTCTCTTTGCTCTATTAATCTGTTATCAACTGGCATAATCAGTGATCTAACTTGGTTTAATTACCATGAAGTCTACAATTTAGCTAATCAGAATTTATTATCAGTTTCTCCAACACGGTAGAAAACATTTTCTAATTTTGTAATTAGGAAAATACATGATGTACAATGTTATTTGTACACATGCATAAACATTATAGTGCTGCAATTTCTTTGAGAAAAAAATACAGTATTATTCATAATCTAATCTCTGGGGTAAGTGTGATTTAAGAAAAAATAAGTAACTTTTGAGAGCAAGATAACTACTGCTGGATGATCTTTTTTTCACAGAGATTTTGTTTATTTTAATTTTTAGGGGACATTTATACACAATTTAAAGTATTATAATTTTAGAGCTTGTGCAAAAAAATAGAAAATGAATTTTGTAACAACTGAGATTAAAATAATAACAAATAACATGAACTATTTCCAGAAAAACAAAAAAACAAAACACTGCATTTGTTTATTTCTTCTCAGCTCCGTAAGGCTATTATAGACCATGTGTCCGACTCTTTCCTGGATACAACAGTCCCACTTTTGGTTCTCATTGAAGCTGCCAAGAATGGCCGAGAAAAGGAAATAAAAGAATATGCTGCAATATTTCGTGAACACACCAGCAGGCTCGTAGAGGTAAATGCACTAGAACTTTAAATCCAGGGGAATGAGATTCACATTTCTTGTTTACAGATGAATTGTATTCAAATAAAAACTTTTGTGAAACTATCACAAATTAAGCAGGGGTGGGTCCAGGTGTATATGAAGGTATATGTGTCAAATTTTATAAACCATCCCCATTCACTTTGAAAAGAAGGAATTTATTCATAAAGAGTTATGAAACTATGTTCAGTTTTGTTTTCTTAAATGCTTATTGTTTTGAGCTACACAAAAGAAGTGGTTAAACCCAGGTACTCTTTGTTTTATCCTTAAAACTATTTTCTAACATATTCTAGTTTTATGTATAAAATATTCTATTTCATACCATTTTGCTGTTTCTCTACCATATTTTTATGGTTGGATTATTCCTTCATCTTTTCAAATAATATTCAACTATGTTCATAACTGTGGCATAAAAGGATAAGATATAAAGGAGCAGAGAGATTCATAAATAATTAACTAGTGGTAATGGGTTGGCTCATGTCTCAATAGGGGCAAGAAGAGATGGTAATCTTGTAATGTCTTCCTCACTGGAAACTGGAGACAAGGGAAAACCAGAAAGGAAACCACATGCACAAACCTCCCCCACCTTGCCATCAAGTGGATTCCAACTCATAGTGACCTTATAGGACAGAGTAGCTTTCCCCCATAGGGTTTCTAAGGAGCAGCTGGTGGATTCGAACTGCTGACCTTTTGGTTAGCAGCTGAACTCTTAACCACTGGGAGCCGGGTAGCATAATGCTAAAGGAACTACAAAGTGCTTGAAGATTCCCAGGAGACAGATAATGGAGCCTACTGCATTATCGGCAGAAGAAAGCAGCCAAAGTGTAAGACCCTGAATGGAAGAATTTCTTTCTTCTTCAGTAACACAAGTAAAGTGACAGTACTCACAAGGCCAAGAACCAGTGACAAGGAAGAGGGAAATGCGATTTATCAGATCTGTATATCAGAGCTGATATTCAGCTGGTATCCATTAGTGCTGAGTGTACTAGTTCTTTATGGCTGATGTCTATTCTGATGTCAGTACCTGTGCTGTTAAAAAAAAAACAAAAAAAACCTCATTTCTGTCTAGTCGATTCCGACTCATAGCGACCCTATAGGACAAAGCAGAACTGCCCCATAGAGTTTCCAAGGAGCACCTGGTGGATTTGAACTGCTGACCTTTTTGGTTAGCAGCTGTCACTCTTAACCATTATGCCACCAGGGTTTCCTGCTTGTGCCATACTAGTTATTAAATGGTTTGACTGCCACACCTGCCCATATTGGCCATGAATCTGGTAAAATATATGTTCTGTGGCCCAAATTGCTTGTAGTACTTGTGAGAAATAATCACCGCCTGAATTAGAATCATAGTGTCTGCTATAACATGTAAGAAAGAAGAGGACTTTCAAAACATCTTTAATGTGGATTTACTGGGAAGAAGACTTCAAACGTAGCTAGCATTTGCACTATAAGCTCTCTCTCTGGATTCCAGTCTTATTATCTAGAAAATGCAAAGGGTGACTGAATCGACGATTTACTAAGATCCATTTCAGCCCTAAAGCTGCCCCATCCCCAACTTTAAAATATCTTTTGCACTTCGTAAGTACTATGGGATGGAGACAGAGCAAGTGATAAAATTCTCATTGATCTAGGATTGAAATAAGGTACAAAACCTAAACTAGGCTAATTAGAGTCTGAGATGAATTCCATGTTTACGATTTTTAATCAATTAATTCAATTATTTTTTACTTAACTAGTTTTGTTTATTCTGCAATGTATTCATTCTTCAAATACTTATCAGCTATTCCCAGAAGAGAATGTTGAAAATAAGAGGGCAGAGCAGAGGGAGAAGGTAGGTCATAAAAAGGCACCTAAATAATGTAGCCCTTATGGTAAAAAAGATTTTGTCTAAAAATGTGTTCTATAAACTGAATTCATACTAAATTATGAAAACAAGTTTTTGGTGAAATATTCTAAAAGTAAAAGTTTGTTACTGCTAATAAAATTACATCCCTGTTCTCATCTTTCAGTTTAGTGTTTTTATGAAAAATAAATCTCATGAAGTGCTCAGTGAGAAAGGAATCCTTGGCCAAATAATTTTGGGAAACATTTCTATCCAGAGCTCCTCTTGGAGATTCACATTCTTAAAAATTTTTGAAGTAAAGAGACCTCTTCAATTAATTTAAACTGGAGTTTCCTCTTTTTTTTTTTTTTAATCCCAGGAACTTTTTCTTTTGTGATACTTTTTACTAAGGAATACTTTTTCAAGGAATACTTGGGAAATGCTACCTTAATTTATTACCAAATGATGGTTTATTATTATGTAGACACAGCTCTAAGAATTTGTTTTGAAAGTTTGAGGATTTTGAAAAGTCTTTCTTCTATGTGAATATTGAAAGAATTTAAGATTTTGGAATTAGGTGGTGCAGTGGTTAAGAGCTTGCCTGCTAACCAAAAGGCTAGCAGTTCAAATCCACCAGTTGCTCCTTGGAAACCCTATGGGGCAGTTCCACTCTGTCCTATAGGGTCACTATAAATCAGAATCGACTCGATGGCAACGGATTTTTGGTTTGGTTAGTGGTTGAGAAGGGGTCTTATTTAATTCTGCATGTTACCCTAACATGATGTAATGAGATTATGCTAATCTTGGAGACAGAAGGTGTGAGTGAGTTCTAATTCTCTGATATTAATTTGAAACTTTGGTCCAAGTCACCTTCTTCTGTTCCAGTAGCTTTTACTGTGTAACAAATCCTCCAAGTTAGTGGTTTAAAACAAGCATTTATTATTATCTCTCACAGCATTGTAGGTTGACTGGGCAGAGCTAGGCAATTCTTACTTGAAGTCTGTGGTTACTGCTGTCAGATACTGGCTAAAGTTGGAGCTCTCCAGAGGTTTGCCTGGGCTGGACATACTAGATGAGACATTCATATGACTGGAAGTACATGTTAGCTGTTAGCTGGGAGCTGAGCTATAGCTGTCAATCTGAGTGCCTATACATGGCTTATCTGCATAGCTTAGGCTTCTTATAGCATAGTTGCTGGGTTCTGAGATGGGATTCCCAAGAGCAAGCAACAGACAGACATAGAAGTTGCCATTCTCTAAAGCTCTGGGCCCAGAAGTTGGCAGAGATCCACTTCCAACATATTCTGTTGGTCAGAGCAATCACGGAGCTCATCCAGACATAGGGGTGTGGGTAGAGTTTAGACTCCCCCTCTCAATGGAAGGAGTAGCAAAGTATTTGTGGCCATCTTTAATCTACCATATGTCTCTTTTCAGAACTTCATTTGCTTTATCTGTATAATAAAAGGATTACACAAGGTAATGTCTAAGGGCATTACTTGTTTCTAAAATCCTATGATCCAACAAATAATTTGTCAGTGGAGAGACTGAGTTTCTTAAGAGATACGGACACAGGAGAAAATGAAAATAGTTTTCAAGTGTACTGCTTGCGCTCTAGGTTGTTTTTCAGTGTATAATATCAACAGTGAAAAAAAGGAGCACTGCATCTATCTCCCAGGAAAATTCTTTTTTTGAAAGGACCTGCCTAACCAAAGCAACAGAGAAAATCATCATTAATATACTATAAACATTGAGATAGAAGTGTCTGTGACAGAATCCCGGGAAATAGATCTTAAATATATCAGGTTTCAGAGGACATTGTGAATTCTCTGTGTATAGATTGTTTACCCTCCCGCCCCAACATACACAGACATGCACGTATACCTATCTTATTCTCAAGCTGAGTAATTTGACATAGCAGGGCAGAAAGCCTTAGATTCTAAATGACTTCAAGAAAAAGCTATTTTCAGCACATCTAGGTTTTGATGCCTCAACTATGTCAAAGAAATCTAAAAATCAGTGAACTTGTTGAAGTAAGACTTAAATGGAAACAAAAAGTCCATTTTTAAAGAAATCTTATCAGATCCTTGAAGAAAAACTCCATGCTGTTAAAGGGACTCTTTAAATATTGGTTAACTTGTAACTTTAAAACAAAATAGTAAAAAGTAGAAATGAACACAAATCCAAAAACAAGGTGCTGAGAAATTCTATGTGTAATAATTGGGAAACCAAAGGATTAGGAGGGTTGAAGAAAAAAAATGTAGACGAGGTGCAGAATGGCCAATAAATTGCTCCTGAACACTCCCATTCTCTGGTAAAGTCATACGATGTGTCCTGCTGTATTTTAATATAGTTTGGTATAAAATGATCATGAGTCAAATGATGGTTATAGAACCCTGAGTAGTGCCAATACCTGAAGAATCTAGATCCTTATGGATAATTTTATTTTAGTTATATTAAACTAAGTCGCTATTAAGCTTCTCCTACTTTGAGCATCCAAGTTATTCTGTGTTTTTGGATCAACCAAGCCTTGGTGGGAATAAGAAGGAGTCAAGGGGTTGGTATTTTAAAAACCATCTTAGCACAGTGATTAGCAATTAATGATAAATGTGTTCATTGGATTCTACTCCCCAGTACTTTGAGCTCACCCTGATAGTGACCTAGGGCACCATTAACTCTACTGGCTTCCACCAATAATATTAGCTAGGAAGCTGAAAATATGAATTTTATCTTAAACATAAAAATATTTAGTCACTTTAGAGAATACAGATTTTACTCTTTTATTGCTTTGAGACTCCTGTACTAGCAAAGGCTATGCATCTAGTGCTCAATAAATCTGTTTTGAATGAAGAAACACATTCATAATACCAACTCAGTTCTCTTCCTCTCTAAAACGTTCACTCTGTGTATTCCAGAAACTGGACTTGAGGCCAATCATTTACAGAGTATCTCCCTACGTGGCTTTCCATGGGTACCTTAAAATAATGTTTCACTGTGACAGTAGTAAATGCCATTGTTCTTAATCACCCAAAGCTGACACTGTAAACCAAGCTTCAAATCTTCCTCTGAAGGAGTTTTTGACTTTTCAATAACATCTTTAGTGTACTTTGTCCACTTCCAAGATAATCTTTGTAAATTTATGTGATGATGTAACT